TCTTGAATGCTGTCAGGGTATTGCCTCTGCCAGGGATGCTCAGCCCTTGGCATGCAGCTCAGATCCAGCCTGCTGGGCTGTCTCATCTGGCCCCCTGGGCTCCTCATAGAAATATGGAGGTTAGCATTGATTGCTACTCCCTTGCCACTGAATTTCTGGATCCATAGGGAGCCCTGCATGCTGGGTGTACAGAGGAGGGCACGGCCAGTTACCAGCATGAGGCCCAGTTCCACACACCAACCCCACAAGGCATCTGTCTATACTGCTGCAGGCAAGCATGCATTCCCTTAGAGACCTTGATGTTACAAAGAATGACCATAGGCTCAGTTTGGTGGCAAAAGCTTGGCCATGTTTATTACCTAAGGCCCCTGCTACACGTTACATATATTGCGCAATTAACTGGTGAATCGCACAATAAATTTAGGCCTGCCATGCGTCCAAAGTAAGACTGGCCGCAAGTAATTATCACACAATTAACTGGTTAATCAGGCAATACATTTAGACGAGCCACAGGTGCAAAGTAATTATCACACAATAAAAAGGATTACCCAGCTCTAAAAAGAGCCAGCCAGGTGTAAAGGTAGTGCTTGAAAAGGTGCAACAACTCTATAACTGGTATCTATCCAGCTTTAATTTCAACATGTAGCAAGGGTGCTAACTCACATGCTTGTTCAAAGGGTTACAAGACCTTAGCCCTGGATGTTTGTGGCAAGATACAGGCACAATGCATCTGTAGCATCCCCTAGGTACAATGTAAAATTCTAAAAATTTCCAGCCCTTCTCTTACACATGAATCAAAAAATTGTTTACATTGGATATTTACATAATGAAATATCAACCTCTCTACTGGGTTACCAGATTCTCATGCCTGACATTATCATGCATATTCTGCACTCTGGCACCAGCCTTACCAGTCTGCTTTCTCAGTCAGTCATCTTTGTCAGAGGTCTTTCAAGCCTAATCTCATAGGCATCTTTCAGTCTAAGGTCCTGGTGGGTGCCAGGTCAGGCTTTGGTGAGGCCCACTTAGATCAATGCCCTTGCAAAGCCTTTGAGAGCCGTATATGCATTGATCAATGCTTATATTATTCAATGTTCTAGCAAGGCCTGCACATGATATTACATGTATAAAAGAATTAGTTTTATTAGTCAGTGCAGGTGTGCTGACTAAAAAGCCAAGCACTTATTTGCTTTATGGAGCTTGCTCTGCAGAATTCTTCCCACCTATTTCAAGCTGCAGTGTTTAAACCTGCCTCGCTCAAATATTATTAAAAACCTTAAGGTTTGACACTGAAGTATGCACGCTCCAGGAAGCATCCAGAGTTCAGCTGTTCAATCTCTGAGTGCTTTTGGGGCAATGCTAATGAGAGTTGCACCAAAAGGAAACTGAGATAGGCCCAAACCATTAGCTTCAAAGAATTTCTTGCACCCAAATTCTTGGGAACAGACTGCATGCATCAGACATGACTTAGGATGAGCGGGGCACAGTGCAGGAAGAGAAGTGGCAGAGTAAGAAAGCAAAGCTCATTTTTATCACACTTATCGGGAAGAAAAAAACAAAAAACAACTTAGCACAGGCTGGTGTCAGTTCCTTTAAACTTAAACAGCTTCAACTTGGTGAGAAAAGTAATAGCCTGCAAGAATTCTACCAGAGTTTGCTTTAAAAAAAAAAAAAAAATTGTCAGGAAGGAGCTAAAGCCCCACCCTACAAAAGTCATACTTTCTAGGGCAGTTGCAGTTTATCAGTAGGTAGAAAGGTATAACTGTACCATCTTATTCCAATCTACCTGCTTTACCAGCTTCTTGCAGAGTATTACTTGGTAGTCACAATAAAGCTCTTTACTTTTAAAATATATGCCTTGACTTCCAGCACTAACTTGTCAGGAAATCATTTGTAAAGTCAGTAAATATTGGTTTGAGAAGTACTTTATTTCAGGAAGAAATCCCTGTAATACTTAAGTTGCTACAGAGCACTGTAGAAGCAGCAGCAGCAGCATTCAAAACTGCTCCCATCTCAGCTTTGGTTTTTGGTGTTGCTACTTACCCTCTCAATGGACACATCTACATGTGCATTAATGCACAATGGTTACTGCGCATTTAGTTTAGTACCTATAACAACAGGTACACACAGTAACTGGTGCTACTGTGCAGTAGTGCCAGCATATGCATTTTAGGTGACGCTAATGTGCAGTAGACTAATTCTCTTGCACATTAGCATGGTTTTTGCCTGCCACGCTAATGCACAGTAGAATTAGTCTACTGCATACATGGTGTCTTATGTAGACACATTCACTGATGGGGCATTTCTTTTCAATATTCTCAAAAGTTTGACAGTAGTCATGAATTACCAGATGAGATAGTTCATCAGACCTATGAACTAGCTACAAAAAAATCTAAAGAATGATAATTGTTCCAACAAGGATTTTCATTGGAAATATGAGAGGAAAAAAAAACCAAAACATGCTGAGGTTTAGGGTTTGCTGTGGTAGAGATTCTCTTGCCATTTATATACCTTTCTTCCAGATTATTATGAGGCTGTTTCAGAAAGAAATAATTTAAAAAAAAAACCACTGTGTTTGCAATGATCACTTAGTGAACCACTTTGCTTCTTTACCTAGTTGTAAACAATGGCTGTGTTCCCCACTGCAGCATAGTTTGCCCCATTCTTGTATGCACAATGGTTTTATTTCAAAATTGCTGGTTTCTTTCTGGAACATACTTTTCTCTTGATCAGATAACAGTATCATCTCCTCCCAGTCCAAAGACTTGGTCAGGCTTTTTGGTGCAGCCCCTGTGTTTTAAAAAAAATTTGTTACAAAAGAAAAAAAATAATGATGTTGTTTTGAGAGGCTGATCTGATCTCATTAAGTTTGAGCATAAAGATTATATTTCAGTTATTGCACAGCATCTGTCATTTGAAATGCAATACGTTTCACTTTTTACACAGCATTCTCCAACTGTGTAAGTGACATCTATAAAAGCATCTCCTTCCCTTCCTTTCAATTACAACCCTGCAATATCTAACAAGCAATTGCTTATATAGAAAAAGTGATTGGCACTACTTCCCTGATGCAAGCTATGTTAACCATCAGATTGAAAGATGGTTTTCGTTTACTGCCCCCACACTTTTTGTACACATAGCAAGCTTCATTACATAAAGATTCCAGTAGCCCTATAAAAGCTTCTGCACTCTAGCAAATGTGTTGCTCCATTGGTTAATTAGCAGGGATTGAGTCTTCCATAAAGCAATAGCCTCATCAGGTGGGGCAGGGCCAAGTTTTCTACAGCATAATATTAAAAATCTGACAGATATTACACAAATTATTTCTATGGGCTCTTCATAGAAGCAGCTTGTGCGAGATTTAGCTTTCTTTTCCAAAGAACTAGAGAAACACACCACCCTGTGAGGTAGGTACTGACTCCATATTCCCCCAAGGAAAGTGAGGAAAGGGGCTAAGGATAGAGAGACCTCAGCCACTGCCTAGTGTGTGGGAACACTGATGGTAATTGGTGGTAGATCTTTACCACAGCTGCCATAATTCTGGAACTCTTCAGTGCAGCTTAAGTGTTGTGCATCTCCCCACTCCAGTTTTAGCGCCAGCAAGAGTTTCAGGAGAACAAGTCAGAAGTGGAATGAGTATAAGTAGCAGATGAAACGTCATTCATATTTTATGTTATATGAAACAGACATGTTAAGCATCTTCCCTGAAGTCAAAGCAAAAGCTGCAGAAGGGCTACATCAGAACCTTCTCCATCCAATCCTTTGACCCATGCTTCTGCCGCAAACTATGACTCCTCATGCATACAAGACACTAGTCATAAACTGAACTTTTGGAACCTGTGACTCTCCCATATTTTTCCAAGAGTACAATTCACTCAAACTCACTTTGCCAGTAACAGCATCTGAAGGAGGCAAGTGAACTTTCGCATCTTAGGATACTGGACAACGTGTGCAGTTGTAGCAGCTTCAAAATGGGGGGGAGATCTGCTGCTGAGGAACATACAGCAGCAGTTATGCTGTAACAGTTATATTGATGTAAGCCTGCAGCCATACAAATGTAGCAGAACTGCTCCAATTCTGACTGCTTCATTCAGGATCAAAAGGATCAATTGAGCTCAATTGCACCATTACAGACTCAGGCCAACATGATAGTTATGGCCCAACAGCTGCTGCACACTCCCAAGCAGTAGTTCAACTCTCCTTTTCTGAAGCCATTGCAGATGTTTGTGTACATATATTATTGGGGGGGGGGGCACGGAGGGAAGCTATACCGAATTACTCAACTGGTAATAAATGCCTACTGTGTCCCTTTTAGTTTGTTAAAGCAGGTAATGCTTTGAGGCTAAGTGTCAAGGTACAGACTTTAACATGGCTTACTATGGTATATAACCACATGTTGTATACAGCCTTGTAGTAATTCTTGTGCATTATAGTAAGCTACTTGCTAAAAGACTGACATATAGCATCTCTTCCTTTTCCCATTTCTGCTGTGGACTTCCTAGTTATTGCCAAATTTAGAACTGTAGTATATTACAAAGGAGAAAAAGAAGTTAGAATTCTGCTATTTCATTCATCATGCCTGGTCAAGTGACAAGATAATTAGCAAAAAAGCTGTAAGTAAGTAAGAAGGCATCCATAAAATTAATGGGGAACTATATTCCAGACATTCAGTCAGAGATGGAAGCAGTATCTTAGGAAGAAATCAACTAAACCATCTGCCACTACAAGCAGAGGTAGCATGTTTTAAGAACAGTGACTATCCTTATACTTATCATAATACAAGCTCCCTCATACCAGCTTAGCAATTTGGGAATGCTCTCTCCTCTCCCTCTCCTTCCAGCCCTACTAAGTTATTTTAAGCTACCCAATACAAAGGAGCAAAACAATTGGTAAGTCATAGTAGATATTACAACGACTTACCAAGCTAAGTAAAAAAGAATTGCTCTACAACTTAATTTTAGAAAATTAACTGAAAGTTGTTCTTAGTTTTGCTCACTATTGGGGGAAATCCTGTATGAAGCAGATTTAAATCTCTGGTACCATGAGTTGCAAGATGTTAACATCTGCAGCACAATGTTCAAGTTACATGGTATAGAGGACCGGTGAAGAAAGAACGGAGTGGATATTTCATGATGTTACAATAGAAAACCCATAGCAGTAACTGGGTTCTGGCCTTTTTTTGTTGTTGTTGAGGATGGCCATCTAGGCAAACCCTGAATGATCTTCATTACTCTTACCTTTCTACATTTTAGATGGAAAGTCTCTATTCCAACATCAGTGATAATGGGCACTGATGCAAAGTCTTAAGTGACCTCTTTATGAGCCAAGGTACCACAGATAAGCCAGAGATTGGCAAATAAGTGGGTCCCTTCCCCCTCCAGTGTTCAGTAGAACAGCCACTGCTGCAGTCAGAAGGCCATGGTTCAAAGCACTTAAATATTTTTTGCTTGACTACCAGTGTGAACACAGTCTGTAAAGAATCATTTGCCATCTTAAACTGCTTCCCTCATCTGATAGGAAGAATGGCTTGGATTTTAGTAGATAAGCCCATTCTGGAGATAGCATTCAAGTGTTAAACACAATCATTATTTATTAAACACTCTTGTTAAATCCTGCTTTGTGGAAAATGCTCTTTACTGGCTAGCTACGCTGGCAAATGTTAAGCCAAGCACTGTTAAAAAAATGGAAACAAACATTTCTAAAAGTTATTTTTCACACCAAGACAAAAGTAAAAAACATAAAATGAAACAAACAAAAAACCCCACAACAACTTTGCATTTTTTTAAGGGAAGCTTATAATACAACAGTGCCAGACCAGGTAGTTTTAGACCTTAGACCCTGCTTCAAACCCAGGATGGTGAAGTGATTTGCAGGTATTGTTCAACTGTCATTGGCTCATGGCTCAGGTGCTCAGTCCCTGTAGAATAAGTGCAGATGGAAAAAAGCACTTTCAGTTGCAAGGAAAAATAGACGTTTCAAATCACTGCCCTTCTCTAACTGAAGAAGCTTCAAGCCAAGAACAAAGGGCCAGATTTTTAGATACAAAAGCATGCAAACCTTCAAGGAGTTGCATTACCATTAGGTGTATATGTCTGGGGAAAAAAAAAGAAAGAAAGAAGAGAAAAAAAAAAAAAAATCAGGTCTTTGGTGCCTAAGGTGACAGGGAAAGGACTCCATATTCTTGTCAACCATGCTTTTTTAAAAGCATAGATGGGTCCTTTGGCTCCCAGTTACAATCCTCAAGAACAAGGTAGTTACATGCCAAAACTTACTCCCCTTTATGCTTCAAATATGCACTTAAATTTTATAGTGATCACTGAAGTCTTCCATGAAACCAGTCCCTTTCTGGGTACATGAAAGCTTTTATATTAGAAATGTTGAACTAGCACATTTACTGGTAAAAAATATACTTTGTTACTAACCTGAAGGAGAAACAAAACCATGCATGGCTCACAACCAAATTTAAGGGCCAAGAAAGGCTATTTCCAACAGTTATTATTTCAGTAGGACTGTTAAGATATTAGTATAGGGTTTTTTCCCCCTTAAGAAAAGCATGTAGTGTCGCTAAGATCACATCTTTGTAAAATAAACTTAACTTCAACATAGAAGTCATTTGAACACCTACAATCAAATGATAATTGGAATCCAATTTAAGATGTTTTACAAAAGGTCTTTACTGTACAGAAAGCCATGAATCCCTACCCAATATATAATGCTTTAAAGACAATCTCTTGTTTTCCAAATTACATTGGATACAATGTATTTTGCTATCCATGATTTTTCTACTTGGAGGGTGAAAAAGTGGGGAAAAAAATTAAAAAAATCCCCCAAAACAAAACAAACAAAAAAGAATGGGTACCCTAAACATTTTCTGTTGAGAAAACATTCCAAAACTGCCTCTATTATCATAAGCATCAGAACTGTTGACAAGTCAATAGCCAACTATTTAAACAATGAAATATTCCTGTTGTAAAAAACAAAACAAAGCAAAAAAGCCACCCCAAGTCTTCTAGATAACATACCAAATAATCACACAGATTCCATGCTTCACAAATTTTTTTGCTGTAAAAGGCCCCCTAACAGTTATGCAAATGCATTTTATCTTATTGGCTCTCAGTGTGCTATTAAACAGTAGCAAAATAAAAAAAAGAGTACTGCTAAGAGCAGTTATACCTGCTTGTGCCTTTAGAATACTAGCTACACACATATCTAGATAATCAGCGTATACCACTGAAGTAGGAGAACATACACACATAAAAATCTTAGGTAGCTGTATGTGGCAAAGAATGAAGTTAATAGCTTAGGATGCTAAATGCTAAAATGCATAAAGACTTCCTTATACAATCAGAACAGTTTAAGCAACTACATATTTGGGTTTCTGATACATCAGAAACTTAAAAGTTGCACGCAGATGATGCTACGTAGGACTCTAAAGGCACATTTCAGGTTGCACAATGATTCTGTTGAGACAAACTGCTTACACGCACAATCACACAGATTGTAATGGTTAAAACCCCTTCAGAAATTCCGTTATAAAAAAAGAGAAGTGCATTTTCAAGTTAACCCCAGTAAGCAAGATTGCTCAGTCCAAATGTTCAGTATTTTCCTCATGTTGATATGAATTCTCTGCACTGCTCCAATCCAGAAAAAAAGAAAAAAAAAAAAAGGGCAGGATTAGTAAAGGCCGAATTGTGGTACTAATTAACATTTACTCATCAGATCCCACTGATCTCTTCTGTGCCCTTTTACGTGGCAATCGTCTTGGTGAGGCTTTATCTGGAAGAGAGGGGACAAAGAAAGGAGTTACCTCAACTGCTAGAAGTACTACATCAAATTAAAAGCAATTCCTCCACCCAAGTCTTCCCTGTTTCCTGCCTACAATGGAAACTGCTAATTATTTCCAGTGTAAGGCACTGCCATGCAAGAAGTATATGTGATACAATTCTTCTTCCATCTAACCCAATCATTCTAAACATGCTATTGGTGTAGAACTGAAATATACTGTAGCTTCAGAGCATATAATCCTCCATATTTAATGCTTACTTACATTTACACAACTGAAGATACTCAAATTTGTAAAATGCTAACACATTTATCCATTTTTTAAAAAAAAGCTATACTAAACTACTATGCTTTAGCAAGACAGTGATCACTAGACTGATACTTGGGAGTTTGCTTGCCTCTGAAAGAATCTGTATTTTCCTTCCGTTCGTATGGCATCAACAAACAATATACATTGTTTTATAACAAAATGAGATGAACACTTTGCAGCTTCATAGTCATAATAGAAATCTTATTTAATACTTCAATGTGGACATTAGAATTTGTGTGGGTACAAGATACTAGTCATAATTCTAGTTAAGTATGGCCTGACTCTAGTTTGTATCACAAATTTACAATTTTATTTGACCTTCAATCCTGGCAGTTTACAAGACAAAAAAAGCTTAATTATGACAGGTCTACAGTTGTCCCTTAAACCTAGAGGTGCCTTCATGCAACTAAAATCTAAAAAAAGGAATTTTCAAAGCCTTGTTCAAAAGGAGAGAAGATGAACATTATTCTGTATGCAGGAAAAGCAATCAGGTTATCTGATGTCAAGTATAGGTCTAACTACTTTTACAACTGCTTATTTAAGAAACTTTAAGGATTCATAGACAAGCTCTGAACTATTACAGACTTCATAGGTAGGGCTAAAAGGGCTTAAGTCTTTTAAGGTCATGCATCTCCCCCAGATAGTATACAGGATGCTGAAAATACAAACTAGTATAAATCTAAAGACTAATCTTGTCTAAATTTGAATCTAAGGGGAATCGGAACTCATGGCAGAAGTGGTATATTTTATTAGGCCAATGAGATTTTTGCAAAAGAAAATTCTTTAATTGCAGGCTTTCAGGCATAAGCAGCCTTCTTCAGGCATAGGAGAAAAGACTGTAAAAGTTCTCTTAGGTAGAAATTAAAATATCTAAGGGGGCATTGTAAGCCTTTCTGATGTTTACTCCTTGATCAGTTCCTCAATGGGTTCAGATCAAGTGTAGTGCCAATTTAGTCTAAGAGCCTCCATTGCAAATCAAAACCCTTGTATAATTTCCAGCAGACATTCCCTCTACAAACTTCATACTTTCTAGACTTTTACATTATCGCCTCTGTGGAAAATATTTAGGATGCAGCATTTTAAAAATCTGTAAATTAACAAACTGATATTAAGCAATTTTCTTCAAATATATATTGACAGAGGAAATCCTGCTTGTTTTAAAGATGGGAGGGGGGAAAAAAGAAAACCCACAGGCAAAGCAAGGTTATATAGTCTGCCCATACTTACAACTCAAAAGAAAAAACTATGGTCTTCAGATCATCCATGCCTAATGGAACTAATCCAGTTTTTCTTCCCTAATGAACTGTTTTTAGTTACAAAACACCAGTTCATTGAAACGAAAACTTTACAATGCTTTTAAACAGATTTATTGGGAGTGTTTCTTGGGTCCATTTCTGCTCAGGATGAAAGGGAGTCTAATTTCAAGCTCAGCAGGATTCCCCTGGGACATACAAAGCTTAGATTGAGTGCTGTAACTGAGATAACAGGAAAATTTCCCATTTTCATTTTAGTTCAGGAAAACACAAAATAAAGAACCCCCAAAGCTTATGTTTTCCACAAAACTTGAGTGGTTCTGGCCCTCAGCAGTGACCGAGGCACCCAACCATGCTCTTCGTGCACCTTGTGTCAGTTTTCTAATGGCCACCTTTTCACTTCATATGCCACTTATCCATGGCCAGGATCACTTAAACTCACACAGCAAATTTCATTCAGGTCACTGTTCCTTAACTAACCTACCTCTTTCCTCCATTTTTCTCCCAGAGGCCTCTCACTTATCCCTAGTCTAGTTCTGGAAAGAAGTAGATTCAGCCATCATAACTATGCTAAAATTTAAGCTGCAGTGGGTATATTTAAATGCAACCTGTTACCTTCTGCACATATTTGAAACCATAAAACTGGTATTTCCCAACAGTGCTCATGCTATTACACCATGAACCACATGCACCAAGAATCAGAATTTCACTAGAGCCCAGTTAGTGCAGATGCATAGCAAAGACCCATGTTCCTACAAGCAAAGTTGAATTGCCTCACCTCTTCTACTTTGCACTGAGGCCACAGGAAAGCAAAAACAGAAAAAACAGTAGGAGAGAAGTTAGAAATATCCACAGGCATTCAACCATTCTTAACAGACAGATTTGGGGTTAGCATTCTGATCTCAGTGATTTTGAGATATGATAAGATTATACTTTTTATGCTCATTTACTGGTAGTTCATTCTAGAGACAGGTTCCTTCTATGTCATTAAAAAAAAGCCAACACACTCAGTTGGGCCTCTCTCATTTTACTTGGACCTCTCCAGAATCCTGTGACCCAAACTTTGGTTCAAGGATTAGAATTTCATAGTAAGTCTAGAAAAGGAAGGGCAGGTACAGGAAGATTGATGGCCTTCTACAAAAGGTCCATTCTACCATGTAAAACTGGTTTTATACCTACTTTTTGGCTAACTAATGAAATTAAATCTGATAGAACATGAATGGCTGAGGGAGGAGGAAAGGTTGTGATGGCTGCTACTGCTAGCCCTGAGACTTTTCCCCTACAAAATCAGATGAAAAAACGTGCTTAAAATAACCATACATTACAATAATCTGCCAAACAGTCATTAGATTGTATGTTAAGCATTTAGATTCAATTACTCCCCAAAGCAGATAGCTACAAAGCTAAGAACTTGGTACAAAGTAGTTCTTGCTCTCTTTTTTCCTTTAAAAAAAAACCTTGTTTGATAAAAAAAAAATTATACCCAGATCATGGAAGGCTTATTACTTACTGATCTGATTTAAAGTTTCTTGAGGGATCCAGCTCATGTCAACATCATTTTGATTTGATGTTCCCATCTCTACTTTCTGTACTGGTCTCTTCCGCTGAAAGGATTTGAGAACATTAACAGATTTTGCTTTCCATGAGAAAAATGCAAATATTACAACTGTAAGAATATTAAATATAGATACTGTAATCAGATTTAGTCAAAGCTTTGTATCATTAAATACACATAAAACAAATATTTAACCTTGTGATACCTGTACCAAGCCTGCTTAGCTTCAAGATTAAATGAGTCATTTAACAACGGTGTAAAAATTTCCTCTTTAAGTTTATAAACAGTAAACTTTTTAGTTTGATTATTGTAATCTAAAATACCTACAGCTACATGGAATGATTATACATCCTACACAACTTTATTCAGAATTTGCATTCCATCATTAGCATCTACAGTACACTTAAAAACAAGTCATTTCTTTTGGAAGTGAGGATTTTCCCTCAGTAACTTGAAGAGTACAACAGAATGTTAACACCCAATGCTAATTAGAGAATCTTTCTAAACAAAAGACACTGCAAAACTAAATTCAAGTTTAAATATTTAAGTTCAATGTATATCATACATTAAATTCCCTTGCAGGGTACTGCTTTCCAAGTGGATTAAGCTAGATTTCAGAGCACAGAGCAAAATAAAGTCCATATGAAAAGCTAGTCTAGAATATCTATTTTAGGCTGTTTTCCTCTGCAGGTAATTAATTAGTGCGATTCCCTTTCATTAGCCATATTACTTGGCTAAGATCAATGCTGACTAGTTCTTAGTGTCAACAGTATTATAGCTAAAAGCCCTGATTGATACTGAACCATATTCTGCAGAGGGGAAGACAAATACAGCGACCTTTTTCACCATGGAGACCAGCTAGGACCTGTGCAAACAGGGCATGCAGCCAGGCAGACAGAATGGAGCCATGGGCGGGTAGGGAGCTGTATCTGGGCCCAAATACGGGATCTTGCGGCAGTGACAGTGCGAGGCCACGGGCCAGGGCATAGATGCAATCCACTCCCCACATGCCCCTGCCCATGGAACCCATGCCCATTGCAGGACCATGGAAGGAGCAGATCGCAGCTCTGCCTTGGGCCCCAGGCCCAGCCCTGTGCTGTCACCGTCCTATGATCCCACCTACTCATCCTGCTCCCAAACACTGCTCCCTGCCCAGCCATGGCCCCATCCTATCCACCTGACTGCACACCCTGCCCGCATGGGTCCCATCCCTGGCAGTGTGCGTGAACCGGATGGGCTGGGGTACCCAGGCAGCAGGGCTTGGTTCAGTGGACCCTGGGGTTGGGCAGCTGGAAGGAGCCACCACCTTTGGGGCTGCAAGAAAGCAAGTCGAGTTGTTGCGCCATCCCAGCACTGCTGTGTGCCCAGGAACAGCGGGACTAACCACACATTAATGCTATGGCCTGCCCTGGGTGGGACCAAGACGTTGTGGCAGGTCAGACAAAATCGCTTAGAGGGCTGGATCTGGCCCACAGGCCGTATTTTGCCTGCCCCTTATTTATAAACAATCCATCAGCATGATATCTAATTTTTTCACAAGTTTCTTGGTACATCTTAAAAAAAAAGACGACTTTGAGAATTCTAGTCAGTTAAATCACCACTTCCCTCCAAACAATCTAGCTTTGATTAAATTCACATAACTTCTATGTGTGCCATTAAAGCCACAAAAGTTGTACTGCTCTGATTGTTGATATGTTATCCTCCGTCAGTTGAACAACACTGTGCATTAAGTACCTACAGAGAATTGATTACTTACCTTCCTAGATTCTAACAGTTGATGCAGACCAATAACGACAAGGAGGCCAAGACCACCAAGGAACATGTACATGAAGATCCTTGTTTAGCAAAAGACAGAATGAGATAAATTAAAAGCACATTAGTAGCTGGAATTTTAGTCTTTCAGCTTTTCTAAAAGAAAAGTCAAAAGTTACAGCACAAGGTACAGTTGGTTCTAGAAGTTCCTCAATTTACAGTGCACTTGTAAAGACCATTTATTTGTTAAATATCTCCCTGGAGGTACAATGAAGCTGGATTTTAAAATGTTGCTGTATGCAGAGTATATGAAAGAACTGAGGTAAGAGGCAAAGAGTTACAGTAACTTTAAATTTTACTTGGAACTACAGGACAACTTTGATATAACAGGTGTTTCCGTCTGGCATCTTTATTTAGTTACCAAACTAGACTTAGTTCCTCTAAATTCAAAGAATGTATACTTTCAAAATGAACTCTTTAAGAGTCACATACGGCATAGGTAGGCAGTTGTGTTGAGAGATATCATGCACTGAAATGGTTTATGAGCTTAACTCAATATGCAAGGAACTGCATACTACAATGCCAGTCCAGATCCATTCCCTATTGCAAGTCTAGTGAAGCAAACTATATCACTGAAAATATTTACAAATAGGGGTTATGCAGTAATTAGTTTTTCACATACCAAACCATACTACTTAAAAAATGGTTGAATCAACTCTGTTATATAAAAGTGTTCAAGTTCTGAACACTTTCAAGAAATGTGAGCTAAATAATGAAAGGCTAGATAACATGGAAGGGGAAGGGCTTATAAGCATAAGGGCCTTAGCAGTTAGTATCCCACATCTGCATAAGTGCTCCGAGGTCAAATCCATCCTCAGGTAGATGATTGATTTGAATTTTCATCACAAGCCTCACACACACACAATCATCCCCCCAGCCCCTCTGAGTGCCCCAACCCCTGCCCGCTCCCCCAG